ATTTTTGTGTACTTATGTTTTATTCTTGCCAAATATGTACATCAGATATATTTTCTAAGTCTTTGCTTAATATGAGGTAGCAGTATCAGTAAAACGTTGCATTATATATTTGTATATATACACTTTATAACTCTTGCAACTGTCATACTATTGTCAACGATTCAGATTTTACACAAAAGTGGTTTTATCATTCTGCAGAAGTTAGTTAGCAGTAAGGTAATAGAGGCATGGTTTTCACTAAATTAATGCTTCATTCAGACGCAGCTGGAATGTAAGCTAAGGTTGCTTGCTGGCTGCATGGTGTGAGATATTGCTAAAAGTCAAAACTAATTTGTTTAAATTGCTTAAAGCCTAGAAGTTAATTTTACAAGTTTAAATTGGCATCTAACAAACATTAAATATGAATTTGATCAAAGCTTTTAGATAGTTGTTCATAAGATGTTTTGTGACCTAAGAATGGTTCTCTTATTGAACATTTCCTCTTTTTTAAATGAAAAACTAAAAAGTAAAAGAAGCTATTAAAGAACCACTCAAGAAATTAAGGGAGAAGCAGGAATCCAAGAAGCAGGAAATCAAAGATGAAGAAGAAAAAAAGAAAGCCAGGAAAGGAAAAGATGCTACTGATCGAAAGGACAAGAAAGCTGTTGATATGAATAAATTAAAGAAAGATTCTGACAAGGCTAAAAGAGACAGAGGAAAGGAAAAAGGCCTAGACAAAAATGTAAAATCCAAGGAGACTACAAAAAAATCAGCCAGTGAAAAGGATGGTACTATTCAGGTGGGAAAAGACAAAGAAACAAAAAAGATAGTCAAAAACCAATCCAAGGAAGACAAGAAAGAAAAGAAATAAACAGTTCTCATTCTGCTAATGAGGAACAGACTTCAGGAATGAGAAATTTAGCATGTTTATATGAATGTGGTAAAAATGGCAGTAAGAAAATAATGTTTTCTGGAAATAAATGTGAAAAAAGGCAATATAATAATTTTTGGAAAACTGTTCAGTGTGTACTGGTATGGTAAACACAAAGCAGAAACATCTGCTGTGAGACTCAAGTATGTACATATGTTAATGTGCCTGGTTACCAATGTGTGTTGAAAACATTCAAATGTCAAATTCACACCAGTTACTTCAAACCTACTCTAAATATGGGTTTGGGGCTTGATGGTTGTTTTGATTTTTTTTTTTTTTTTAGTCTTCCTTGTTTCCTTGTATTTAGGTACTATTTTCTTGATGTGGAGATGCAAGTTTAATATTGTGTTTGAAATGCAAGTTTAAAAGCAATATGAAAAAAATTATCTGGACACATATAAAGTAAACTCACAGATTAAATATTTCTATTTCACAGAAACAATGAGGAGGAGTATTAATGGACTGTAGTGTCGTAGGAACGTATCAAATAAATGTAACTTATTCCCTGCTAAACTTTTTTCCCTAAGTAAACTGGTTTTTCCCTGTATTTTATACACCATCAAATCCAATTCGGTGCTGGAATTGTTTATGAGACTCCACTGTATACTCAAGCAATATGTTGCAGCATTTTTATCTATTGCTCCTGTGAAAATGTGTTCTACTTTTCTTCAATCCTCTATTTATTTATTTAATTGTTTACTTAGCTTTATTTAGGTTGAAAAGCTTGATTCGTTGTCACTTTTCAGTTAACTGTGTCCTGATTTTTCTGAGTCTTCCAAGTGCTTAGACAACGAATACTAAAAATTAGGCCACCTACTTCACCATTTATAAGTATTGTTGGATTCCATTTACGCTTAAGAAGTGATATGCTACTACTACTCTGTCCTGATTGAACTTGTTTAGAGAACAGCTTATATATATTTGCAACTATTATTTTCTTCAACACTTTTCAAGTGCATGATACTCCTATCAGCAAGATCCTGTGTTAGTTTGCTCTTACAGCTTCTGTATTGATAGCATCAAGGAAGGACTTGTTCAGCAGTCTCATTAGAATAAATAAAGTTGCAAAACATTCTGCAGAGATATTAGAAATATTTCAGTATGCTATTGAATCTATACTTGCTTTCAAGTTTATTTGGAAATTAATATTTTCTAAATAAACTCGAAAGCAAGTATATTGCAAGCAATTGCACTATATAATTACACAGCAATCAGAACAAAATTTGTAATGAAATTTCAACATTTGTTCATCTTATACTGCAGTATTAGCTTAAGGAAAACAAAACTAAGGAGAGAAATTGAGAATGAGTATATGCATATGGATGGTAATGCCAGATTGAAAAAGTCCAGAAGGTTAATTCCGTTGATGGTTTTGCTAAAATTTTGTGTAACAGTTGGCAATACACTTATCCATTCGATACATATGTCTGTAACATGCCTTGATCCCTAGAGGTATAAGGTTATTTGATTTTATTTTGTTCAAATAGTTATGAAAAATAGTTTGAGTTAAAGTTATAGAAAATAGTATAGGAGCTTAAAGTTCTAGCTGTGATAATTAACAGAGGTGATATACCAAGGTATTTTCTAAAATTTATAAATGCATGAAGAGGGAGGGAAGATGTGTGTTGTGAACATTATAGACTTTAGCAAAAAATATGACAGAATGAACTTCTAATACATGCACTTGTATAATGAGCATTCTCTTTTAGGTTTTGGTGATGATAGATGTATTTATTCACCTTTGCTCTGATAAGTGTTAAGATGCGTATTTCACCAGAGGAGCATTCAAATCACACTTCTCAAGGATGGTGGCACAGTGGTATAGTGCACATCACTTTATTTTCTCCCCTAATGTGATAGAACTTGTAACTCTGTGGGAGTGAAATTTGGAATGAGTTGCTTTTCTGATTAATATATTATTGTATCTATGACCCAAAGTTTATCTGGTTCTAAAAAAGTTCGGTTGGTTTTTTTTTTGTTTTCAAGGAACATTTTATTTCAGCAGCACTCCAGGCTATAGAGATAGCCACACAATAAAATGATATTTTTGCTCCGGAGATCTGTTGTGTTGTTGTATATCTCTATAACACATTTTTGTAATTAAAATTAACATGACAGTTTGTCACATAAGCTCAAAAAATGGACCACACAAGCAAAAACTGAGTGCAACTTAATTTTAATAAAAATAAGAGAGAAAATAGTATCTTGCAAAAAGTAAATGGCGTAATGTATTTCTTACTCAACAGGAATGAATAGGAATCCATGATAAACGTGACAGATATGTATAAAAAGCTTGAAAGTCAAGTTGAGAAACACACAAACAAAACCAAGAAGTACTCTTGCTAGTCCCTTCTTTCCTGTTAAATACACATAATGCTTTTCAGCTGTGAAATACTGGCTATCTTTTGAAATACTTTGGTTCCATATATTGTTCATGAAGCAGAGCCGGTGGTTGTCTGCTACTGGAGATATGGGTTATTGGAGGATATGAAGACATATAGAGGGGTGTATGGGTAAGATCTGTGTGGCTGTTTCTGTGTTTCCAGATTCTGAAGTGTGAGGTGGTGGCAAATATTAAGTAACTGGTTTTATCTTCATCTAAAGGTGATTGTAGAAGGAAGCAAGTTCTTACCCTTGTAGCAATTAATATTCCTGCAGGAAAAGATGAATGTCATAATATTATTTTTTTATATTTTTGTGGTTTTTTTAATAACACAGAAGAAAACTGGCAAAAAATTAAATGCAAATTTTGCGCTTTTTTTTCCTAGCTTCTGATTTTGACTTCATGATAGTGGAGTTAATCTATGTTACAGTACTTTTGGATACAGCTTAACTTATCTTCAGGTTGTTTAAATTTTAATAATAGGTTAAGATGGAATTGATTCTGGTATTCTATTTCCACTACTTGAAATAAATACGTGTTTTTCTCATGGTGCATAAAATAATATCTCTCTGTTTTACACAAATTTGGGTTGAGACATACTAGTTCTATTTGTATTGAGATATGTTTGCCTCCATTAGAAACATGGTAATGATCATTATTATTTCTGTTATTCCACTTAGAAGTTATTTTTACAAGATGGTTAGCAGTACAGGAGTGTTCATTATAGTGTTGCCTCTGCTTTATTAAATATTATTTTTCTATTGTTTTCTGTGTATACAGCTCTTGAAAAACTAGTTGAGTTTGGCCAGTGTGTGTATGTATGTTTCTTTACGTAGTCTTATCATCATTGACCGTGGATGTAGCATTATAGAAGAATGCAATCTGGAAGGGGCTTCAGGAGATCCTTATTCCAACATCCTATTCAAAACAGGGTCACTTCAGAGGAATGACCAGGTTACTCTGGCCATTATCCAGTGTAGTCTTTAAAACTTCCAAGCCTCTCTGTGCAGCCTTTTCCACTAATTTCACTTCCTTTGTGTCTGGGGGAGGTGCAGGGTGGATGTGTGTGTGTGTGTATCTTTTTTCTTATGCCCTGTCTGAACCTCTTGTATAAATCTTCCTTGAAACTTGCCAAAGGAGATTGGAGAGGAGAATTAGCCTAATACCGGTAGATTCTTGAACTTATGTTGTCTTAAGATGTGGCATAATCTTTCACGTCTAAGAGTTACCTTTATCTCTTACCGAGGTGTTGATCATTGCAGTTATTGGTTGCTTTCTTTTCATTTTGTAAAGTTCAAATTAGTTTTTCATAGAAGCTATAAAATTGATCATATGAAACACTTTTTGCCCAAATTGAAAACAGTGAAAAAAATCTGCTGCCTATTTTTCTACTGGATACTGAATAGATGTTGAGAATACTGTAGTCATTTGTTTAGTTACTTTGAAATAAAGAAAAGTGCTTAAATTTCTGTCTCTTTTTCCCTCCCTCATTGTATTTTTGTCTTCCAAACATATTTGTTTACTGTCTGAATACGCTTTAGTTTTTGTATATATCACTGTATATCAGGACAGCCCTGCAATTAGGATTGTTTGAATGCATTTTTTGAGAGTGTAACATCCGTTAATTTAATTGAAACGTCTTTCTTAGTTTATAACTGAATCAGATCAAAAGGAGCGTAAAGTTAACTTTATAACTGAAAAATGCAGGCCTTAAAGAAAGATCTGTCCCAGCACAGCCACCACCACAAGAGTCCGAGGAGACTGTCCAGGCTGCTGAGAAGTCCTATGTCGAATCAGGTAAGGCCTTTAATAAGCCATAGGTAAAACAAAAGACATGATACTTCATTTGAATGATAATTCTGTTTCCTTAGCATGCAAACTTTCATGCATTTTGTGTTGCTTTTCTACTAAAGTTTATTTAACAGGAATCACTGTTGATTACTTTGTATAAAATCACTGACCCTGAGAAGTGTAAAATTTTTAAAATTTTACTGTCTAGAAGATACTCTAGTCAAGCCCTCATGGTTACCATTGTATCTGTATAACATCAGAATAACTTTCTGATGATGTCCAGTTGTGGTTTAGATACATTTGCAACTGTATATCCTGTTAGAATAACAACAGATTCTCCAACTTAAACAAAAAAAATCCCAAGAACCAACTTCATACCATAATCAAATATTCCCTTTTCCATTAAAACCAGTAGTATATCATAAGTACCATAAGTAGAGCTTTTACTGTTGAAAAATAAAACAAAAACCAGACATTTTAAAAGCCCCGTAGTATTAGTAAAATGTATTAGTTTTAAGTGAGATTCAAGAAAAATGTTTACATGTCACATTTCATGTATGCAATTTGCCTTTTACTGTTATTCAGAGAGTACATGTTTTTTCTGCTACTTGAAGTGGCTTATCCTACTTGATATTTATATGAACCTAGCACATAAATGCACAACTCTAGAGAATATGGCCAGTACAATGGAATATAGATTTTGTTTTAAGGGACTTGCGTTACTTTTTTTTTTTTTTTTTCCATAACCAGTACCATTTTAGGTCTTTATTTGAAAATGCAACTGTAATCTGATTTTTGTGCTGTAGTGTTTCTGAGTGTTAATTTCAGGACATTTATATAAAAGCAACACTTCATACAAATTCCTGTTATATTGTGGGCTGGTGTATTAGATGATGATCACTTGTCCCTGAAAACGCTTTATGATTTCTCCTGGCAATTCATAGCAGAATAAGACCTTGATATTGTAATGTTAGTATCTATTTTCTCTGTTTACGAAGTCAACAAAACCCTATTTTTTGCAAGTGGCATTTTATTGTTAAATATGACATGCTAGTGCTGCTGCCTAAATTGTAGGAAGGTAATGGATTAAAGTGTTAGTGAAATAATAACTTTGAGAGTTCTTGGTTTGAATAGTTATCTGAAGTTGTTACTGCCCTTGAGAAAAATCTATGTGCAGAAAATGCAGTGTAGATAAATTCTTTGAATTCATCTTCAGAACAAATCTTATGTGATCGATGTAATACTTTCTATATTTGAGAGTAAGCAAGACAAAATTGTTTTTGTAATTGTGTGAGTCCAGAGGTTCACCGGGTCTGTCTGTAAGGAACTTTATGGAATAGTATAAGAACTTTACAGAACCTACTAAGGGCTGTGAGCCTTGGGCTAATGTTCAGACTTTGCCTTTTGCACTTACTTACTTTCACTATAATTTATAATCCTTTTAGAGCACAAGACTGCTGACGTAGAATCGGAAGATGAAAGTCAGTCTGTTCTTCATGAAACTCTCCATTCCCAGCCTGGTAATGCATTAACACTTAGAAATCACTGAAGAGTTTATAAATACTGCCATAGACTAGATGTATCTCAGTCTGGTTTTGCTACGCACCTAAAGTAGCTTTGCCTGCACAAAACATTCCAAACTTATATGTAATTTTCAAGAAAATTCAGAAAGTTCAGTCACCTAATCCTAAAATTATGGCCTCTTACCTGGAGGTGTTTGGCAGCAATAGTTCAAATCAGTCAGTTGACAAAAACTTGCTCAATATAATGCGTAGAGTGAAAGAACGCATAGAGCAGAGATGGCCTTTACTGTGGACGGAGAAGGCCTTGTCAAGGCAGTGCAGATATTTTGGGTTTAGGGTGCAGGCAACTCATCTGTCCCCCTCCCCATCTCCTTTGGAGACTTGTTGGAAAACATGAAGGGTGCACTGAAGACTGAATATTTGCTGGTAATAGAATATACCAAAGAGTATGTATTCACTAACAATCTGCATTATTGATCAGGAGAGAGGCATGAAGATGTAGATGAAAGTATAAGTGACCAGTGGCAAGTGAAGGAAGAAATACATGGAGAAACTTTTGAAGCTCCTACAACAGATGACATGCACAGAGAATTAGAGAATGCAATGCCAGAAGCATATGAGACACCAGACTCAATTCAGAAAGGTATCTGAATGATTAAATACATTTAAAATTAAATTTACAAAAAAAAACCTCAACCAAACAACCGAGACAAATGGAAACGTCTCACTAAAAACGTAACCTGTAATTCCTGCTTAGAACAGAGATGTAGCAATAGAGATGTATCAACCACAGATAGCATTATTTAGCAAATAAATATCTTTTAAATCAAAGTGGTATATTTTAATGCTCTGTGTTTTGGAATCCAGGTAACTATATATTATTCTTTAATTAATGCTGTATTAGTTTTCAACCAAATTAATCTGTGCTCCAGATATGCATATGTCTCCACAATAGAGGGATGACTATAATCATATAGAATGGTTGGAAGGAACCTTAAAGATCACCTAGTTCCAACCCCCTACCATGGGCAGGGACACCTTCCGCTACATCAGGTTTCTCAAAAGCCCTTTGCAACCTGGCCTTGAGCGCTTACGGGAATGGGGCATCCACAACTTTTCTGGGCAATATGTTTCAGATACCTCACCACCCTACAGTAAGGAATTTTTTATATCAAATCTAAACCTATCCTCTTTTGGGTTAAAGCCAAACCTTTGTCCTATCACTACATGCCCTTGTAGGAAGTCCTTCTTCAGGTTTCTTGTCCTTATGGGACACCATAAGGTCACCTCAGAGCTTTCTGTTCTCAAGGCTGAACCTCAGTTCCCTCAGCCTTTTCTCAGAGGAGAGATGTTCCATTTCCAGCCTCTCATCTACCAGCACCCCCAGCTCCTTGGCAGGGCTGCTCTCAGTCTGTCCATTCCCCATCAGTAATACCTATATGGAGTCTGCTTCTGGACTTCCTGGTTTATTTAACTGAATTGTAAGGGTTTATTAACAGAGCCTTTTCTAGACAGACTTATTCTCAGTCTTCTTTCATTTAAATGTGTCTCCCTAAGAGAATGTTATGCATCAATTATGTTGCAAGTCCTGCAGAGATGAAGACATCATATAAAGAAGATATTCATATCTTGCTGCGTTGGGGCTTTGACAGGATGATAAAAATTATAGTAAAAATATTTCAGCAGAATCAGATGATCTAAATCCAACCTGGAAGAAATGATTTCTGGATGCTTTTTATCTGCCCTACTGGAAATTTTACACATCTCTTAATACATCTCTTTGAAAAACTCATGTAACAGATGTCACCTAAAAGTTGAAATTGCTGGAAGTACACTGAGATTCTTTCTTCACAACAGAAGTAATTCTTTTCAGTCTGGGTCTATTATACTTCTTTGTTTCTGTATCTCCTTTATTCATCTACAGCTTAACTTAAAGTAGGAGACTAGAGGAAATACTCAAATTCCAGTTATTTTATATCTTTGCAATTAAGAAGGCAAAGTAAATATATTCTCCTTGCTTCACATTTACACAAAAATTTCTCTGGAGAGTAATTTTTTTGAGCAAGTGTATATAGAGTTTATTTATATATACACATTCTCAATATTATATAGAAGAATAAAATTTTAAGCATTTTTAAAGTCTATATACATGTCTTGCTGCCATTAAAAGAAATTTGCTTAGAATTTCAGCTTAGAAATTTTACTCCATTCTTACATAGTATCTGTTATGGGGTTTGTGGTATTGTGTATTAATTTAAAAATGTTACAATTTGTGTAAACGTATTTGTTTTTCAGATGCTGATCTTTTGGCAGATGATCTTGAAGCAGTGGAGTCTGAGCCCTATGAAGTTCCAGGTATCATTTTATTTTTCTAAACTCAGTAATACTGGTTTTCTGCCTAAGTGTAGCATATTATATGAGAAAGAAAAATAGAAAAGGTTAGACTGGTTTAGAAATATGTAATTTTGAATTTTTTTTCTCTAAATAACTTCTTGTTAATGTCATGGATATTTTTACTTTGAGATTACTATATCGTACTTGCTGTTGAAAATCTTTACTAGTGGATGACTGGAATGGGAACTTTGCTTTCATTGCTGCACAAACTTCATATTTACTGTGAGTTTCTGGCTGTTGTGTATGATTGGGATCTGGCAAGGCAAGAAACCTGTGGTTTGTATAGTCTAAGAAAGTGAGAAGGAGATTTATTGCTTATGTTACTGTCTTCTTACAGTTTGCAATGCTAAGGTTCCTCTAGATTGTTATTCTTGGCATCAGAAGCATCCAATTTTTAACTTTTTCTTCAGGACTGTTTGTTGCTTTGTGTCTGACTCTACTATCAGAGAGTGAGTCAGCACCAAGGACATCACTCTGAACTATCCTTGGGCTGTCTTTCTGCTCACCTTAATATATCTGGAAAGCTTTTTGAAATTTTGCCTGGACTAATCCAATTAAGCTTATGGTCATCTTCATATTGTGCTTGATATCATGTACAATGGCATTAGCTCATCTTTCCCATTATGTAGAAGCATCAGGTCGATATTACAGTTTCCCTGCTGTCTAATAAGTATTTTCTTTGGTATTTTAAGTGTGTTTATTTATAGTACAAACAGCCTTTTCCATTTACATTAGACATGGATTTATGTTTGGACTAGGCTTCTTGTTTTTGACTCAATGTTAATTCTGGACTTTGCAGTCCTATTTGATGCCAAATGTGACAGAAAAGTAGAAAAAAAATTTGTTTGATCAGCTAGCACTGTTTAGTCCCAGCTATGTGGGAAATTACTGCTTTCCAGTTACTGCTCTAGAATCCAATCTGTGATGTTAGTTTCTTACCTTCAGTATTTGTCAGTGTGTCATACCAAGTATATTAACAGCATTGCACAGAATTGTAGTAATAGATTAGAATAATACACATACTTACCTAGGCAATGAAAAGAAGTGAGTTGCTCTAAATCTGTGATGCCACAAGTGAAATACATAATTTGCAAGGCCATTTTTCTGGCTCGTATCTTGTCTTCTGTGGATCATCCTGAAGTCATACTTCTGCATGTCAGTTAAGAACATGCTGTAGAATTTTGAAGATAGAAGTTTACATTTTCCATTCATATTAAAAAATATGCTGGAGAGTAACGGCTCCCATGGATCTAGTTTTCATACAGAGAGTATAACAGAGGACTGCAAGAGACAGTGACCCAAGACCTTCCATTAGATTGCCATGTAAAGTTGTGTCAGTTTGTAAAGTTTTAATTTGTCAGTTTTCAACTAAGGAGCTACATTTAGCTATTGACAGATGTATTATGGATGCAAGTTAAAACAATCAAATATTAAAAATATTTCCTATTTTTTCTTTCAAAATATTTATTTGTTCATATTTAATTTACAGCTTCAGATGATTATGTTGCATCTATGGAGGAGAGAGTAAGTGAACCAGAAGCTCCAGGTTTGTAACTTTTTGTTGCTTCAGATGATGATATAATCTCACATTTTTTTAAATGTGCTACAGAGTAATGTGTCATATTGACTGTTTCACCACAGTTTTATTTTCAAGAGCCTAACACTCCATCCACAAATACTTATAACGATATCTTGTTCTATCAGGAGTCTTGCAGTCTAATTGATGGATTGATTATCCAAGACGTACTTATGTTCTTAATGTTAATCCTAAATACAAATGTGCATTAATTTATTATATTCTTTGTCTTATGGTGTAGCTCCTGGATGTGTTTTACAGTTCAGCTGTCACTTTTAAAAAAAATACTGTAGTATTAACTTAGTATGTTTAGTTCTGATATTCTTGAGCTAAATATGTGACTTTTTAAGTTTGCATGAAAATGGATTGAAATATAAAACATTAAATGTTTTTATTTAAGGTGACCCTGAGGTAGTGCTAGAAGATGCTATGGAACATTACACAGGTATAGTCCGAAGTCTTATTTCTTTTTGCTGACGCTTCATTGAATTTTGTCCCCAAACCAGACAATCATGCAAAAAACCCACCCAACACTCAAAACACTGGGGCTCATAGGTAACATCCATTCCTTATTAAGTTATTACATCTCTGGTTTCGATTATGTTCTGAAAAAATACTAAGAGCTATATGAGTACTACTTCCTTGTAATGTCACCCAGATGGGCAGATTAATATTTTGAGGGTTGAATTTCCAGGATAATGGATATTGGTGTTTTAATTGTATAGAAGTGTTTCTGTGGATAAAAAAGAATTTAAATATGCCAGAAATGTTGAAATTAGTGTGATGTCAAGAAGAAAGTACTGTCTTTAAATTTTGCTTTAAAAGCAAGCAAGCCATAACAAGAAGATCTCAAAACTGCACTGTAGAAGTTAGCTGTATATAGAAATGATTTAAGAATATTTTGATTCTGAATTATAGGTAATCTGTAGATGGCTTCATGAACTGTATAAGAAAGCCAAGTGATACTGCTTTATCATTTTTAAGTCTATCTTTTGATGCCAGAAAATTACTCTGTTCTTCTCACAGAATCTTTTAGAAATCTTTGCCTTTGAACTCTTATTAACTTTATTACAGTATAAAATACTATACTTTGGAATATCTTTTTTGTTCTGAATAAACTCGACATTGTATTATTTGTGTGTCTTTATTGTCTTAAAAGTTCCATGAATTTTCATGTTCATTTTCTTTTAAACAGAGGATATAATGCATGGCAATTATAATGAAGATCAAGGTATGACAACTGCTATATTTAGTGAAATTACAGTATCAAAGTCTTTAGTTAATATGCAAGTGAAATTACTTTTTCTTAAAATTTTCTCTGCTGGCACATTACTTTGCAAGTTCTCAGTTAAGGTTCTGGGTTCTGTGTTCAAACCCTCTGTATGTAAGCAATCAGCCAAGTGAATTGATTGATCAAACGGAAGATGTGTAGAGTATACATTAAATTCCCACATTGGTCCTCTGTCATGCTTTGTGTGTATGTGGAACAAGAATGTTGAAGACTTTGTATGCCCTTTTTCTTATGAAACCTCGGTCAAGTCAGCTGTGGTTCACTGCATCTGCATAGCTCAGTATTGCCTTTGTGTTCTTTGGAAATTACTCTCATTTAGTTTGATTTGGTTGATGACTTGCTGAGAACAAAAATGAGAAGAACAGTAGTCACAGCCTTGAAACAAAGGTATGTTGTTGTGATTCCTGCTGTGATATCCTTCTGGGTACTACCATACTTCAGAATAATTAAGCATGTCTTTAAAGCATTTTTGTTCATTTCCCATGTTTATGTAATCTGAGCAAAGCATGGGGATTCTTAGCTTCAGGATATTTGCAAGAGAAAATCTTGAGGCTCATTCTTGGTCATCAGGAGGGAAGTTCCGACATCTGTCTTTGGATCCCACTGAAAGACTTTCAGTGGCCCAAAGGTGTATTTGTTTAGCACACAGTCTGTGTCTTTCACAGTCTGCAGAAAATAGTTCTTTGCCTCAGTGATGATGCCCTTGACAAAATGTCTTGGCATTCATGGAATGGAAAACCAAGAGACCTCTAGATTTTTTCCCTGGCCTTATTTTTTTACCCACCTTTCCAGGAGATATTTATTTTCCGATCAGTTCCAAGTCAGAAATCACTTCCTCTTGCTTCTCGCACCTAGATATGAAGAAGTGCAACTTCTGATCTTTACTTTTCATGCTGCTTCATATGTAGTCGTGACATGGACAGAAGATGCTTCCATGCCCTCTGGAACTGTCATTTATATCAGTTTTTTGAGTAAGTTGATCAGGGAGGTAACTGAAGTAAGTTACATCATCTTTTCATAAAATCAGTTCCCAAACTGTTCCACATTCTGCAGTCTCTTCTGGCACCCCAGCACCATAACAATGAATCACTCTATTTTGTGAGTAATTAATGTGCTTCAGCAAGCAGTGGTTTCATGTGCTGTTGCCTCTGTGTGCTACACTGAGAGTTCTAAATAGCATCAGATAAATCAGATTTTTTTTGCCCTACTCTTTCTGTAGTCTTCCAAATCCTCTGATTAGGATGATAACAAGAATAGGAATTTTTCTCCAAAGGAAATTCTAAGGTAGCAGGTGACTGTCAAAAAATTTATTGTGCTTGGCTATTAAATAGTCAGGCTTCTTTATGCAATAAATTATTCCCACATAATCTGTGGCAAGCTGCTTTTCTCTTGATAAAAGTTCACCTTTTCATGACATAATTTTGCCTTGCTTTCAAGTTCTCCCTTGAAGATGTTCTGATTGTAAGAGAAAGCGTCACACATCCTTTGTACTTCTTGGAGGAATTCCATTTCAGAGCTCCAGCCTGGAGCTGTGTAGAAGAAAAAGACCACTCAGCTGAGCTGCCTTTCTGTTACAAAGCATTTTTTCTTTAGGAGTTCAGTGTGTTGAGTTTCAGGGCATGTTCACATTCATGTGCTAGACACCATTTTAGCAGTTGTACCCCTTTTCCATCCATTTTGATTGTGGGCCCATCTTTCTTTTTCCATGCTTTTGATTGAATTGAAAGTGGAACAGATTTGCTCTATTTCTGAAGAAAAACAATTTTAGCACCTGTTTTTTAAAGTCAAAGAAGGGATGGAGGCCCTTGTGGAGATCTGAAATTCTTTCTCTTAAGTGTAAAGCTTGTGGTTTTGGCATAGGCTCCAAAACTGCAGTTCACTTCCTCAAGAAGATTCAATGTAAAGCTTGAGATGCAATTGTGTGTGAAGTCAACAGAAGTGTAAACTTCTCTATTCTGGAGTCAATGTATCTTCCCCATCTCTATCAGATGTTTCCCCTTCTCTGGCAAGACCCTCTGATGAAATATTTTCTCCAAGTTTGGTGCTTTCTGGAATTCTCAGAAAGCTGAGGGCAGTGCCAAGAGGATTGTTGGCTACAGCAGTTCAGTATCTTTTGTATTATATTATAACTTGCTTTGTATGACTTGTTTTTTAATTCAGTCAAGAACTAGCTCCAATAGGATCGCTGAGGTTATTGCTAATGCAAAAATTCTGTTGTTGAAGTAAGTGTATGATAGCCCACAGTGGAGTGTGTAAATAGATGGATCATATAATTTGGAATAGAAGAACGCAGTCATTGTACACAACTTTCAGTAGTTTTCTGAAGAGTTTGCTACAGTTTATAGCAATGAATCTGGAGAAAGAAAGCAAGTTTGAAATTTTCATTAGAAATAAAGTGTTCTGGAAGTTTTTTTAAGGATATTCTGTAAGAACTTTTTTCTAAGAAATATATGGAGAGCCACATGACCATTAGTATCTATGAAGACGTGGGGGGTTTTTTTGTTTGTATGGTTTCTTAAATCTTATGTAATTGACCTTTTTCAGATGAGGGTTAGTACCTGTTAAGATAATGAAATTATCCAAAACACTGAATGAACTTTGAACTTCTTTAGTTCTGAAATTTACAGTGAGTGTATATTGAAAATTCAGACAGTGGATAGCATTTTCGTCTATTTTCAGACATTATCTAAAATTAATTATTTAATATTCTTAACCTATTTCTTCAGAATTATGAAAATTAGACTGGCTCTTTACTCAAATATTAAAAATGTAGAAAAATTATAGCAACTGCACATAATGATGGATTTATTGTTGTAATTGTTTTCTGCATTTCACCTGTGTAGATACAAAGGCTTGAAATTTCAGCAATATGTTCACATTAGGGTGGGATTTTTTTTGTGTAAAATTTCTACTACAAGCTCCAGAGAAGGTTCATGTATCTATTCAGGACCCAAAGTGGGGAAAATTTTTAAGGGCTTTATCATTAAAGAAATTACCTGGGTGCTTAACAACCAAATTTTTAGGATACTTTGTGCATATAAGCCACCCAGCAACTTTATTTTTTCTTTTCTTTCAGAACCCAAACATGAAAAGCTGGCTGAGACTCAAGATACAGGTATATACATATATATGTGTGTATATGTATATGTGTGAGTTGGGTCTGTGTATACTCCTGCACGTATCACACCATTTATATACATTTATATATATGAAATGTATTAGAAAATCTTTATTTCATATGTCAAGTACAAATACCTCTGCAGTAAGTGTTATTAGAACACATATTGTTTTCAAAATCAGAGAAATATTTTAAGTTAGCATAACAGCTATTAACTTAATCTTGCTGTTTATATATATTGAAATATATAGTCGGTGTGATCTTCAGTCATGATAATTGCCAGTTACAGCAAAGGTTTGTTACAGTCTATGTTTTTATAAACTTACGTTTTTGACTATGAGCTGAGACACATTTTAATATGCTGTCCTCAAGGATTCATCTTTAAGGTCTCAAGTGACACAAAGTGGGGTATCTGAGGCTTAAAATGGACAGTTGGAACACAGTCATTCCTCATAGACAGTCAACCTGCTGCCTGTTGTGATCCCTGCTCAGAACCTTCCAACCAGTGCTTAAAATCATTCAAAATGTAGAGGCTGTCAATACTAACTCTACTTTGATGCAGACTTTGGTGGGTGCATTTATCTAATTAGCAGGAGCAATTAAAAATTGTCTGCAGTACTCTCTCTGTGTTCTGTATACTTTTTTGTCTTGAAATAGCAGCTCAAGTCATCTCAGACAGCTGATTGAAAAATACTACAACTTTTTAATTTAGAATATAGTAAAGAAATTCTTCAGTGTATTTTTCCCCTCAAATTCATTGAAGTTCCTGTTTGTCAATAGCAGTTTCCTGTTCACAGGTAAACATGTCTATGTGCTAGCTGTGTTCTTTTGTGCTGTGTGTAAATTCCATAAACTGAGGGCTTGACTTCATTATTGCTCTGAATCAAATGTGGGTTTTTTTTAGCTATTCACGACCTTCCAGAGGAGCTGAATGAAGCCACAGAGCCAGGTATATATTTTGTAACTGTGATCTTAAAGTTGTTTGATAAAATATATGTATTTGAAAATCTGACTTTAAAGAAGAAGCAAGCTCATTATATACTTTTTCTTTTTATTATAGATAAAATTACTGAAGATTTTGATATTGCTAAAGATGTCTCAGGTATGAGTTTTTGTAGTTTGTGAAAGGAAAAAAATTAGATTTATTAGTATAATTAAAAATCCAGCAAATGAAAACCAAAGAAGATAAACGTGTATGTAGAATAATCAAACAGTTTGGGTTGGAGTAGACATTTAAACATCATGTGGTTCAAACTCCCTGCCATGGCCAACATCTTTCATTGAATCAGGTTGCTCAAAGGTCTGTCCAGCCTGACTTGTAGCACTTCCAATGATTGAGCATTTCTACTGCTCTGACCAACCTATTCCAGTGTCTCACCACATTAAGAACAAAAAATTTCTTTTTTATGTCTAATCTCAATTTACCCTCTTTCACTTTAAACCATTACTTCTTGTCCTATCGCAACAGGCATTGGTAAAAAGTGTCTCTCTGTCTTTCTTGCAAGATCTCTTGTTAAAAGGCTGCAATAAGGTCTCTGCAGCCTTCTCTTCTCCAGACTGAGCAACCCAACTCTCTCTCAGTCTGTCTTCTTAGGAGAGGTGCTCCAGCACCTGACCCCAGTGCAGGAACTTGCACCTGGCCTTGTTGAGCTTCCTGATGTTCTTATGAAGTACTTACTTCATTCCTCAAATTGGAGCTCTATGTTAACTGTCCACAATGCCACTCAAATTGATTAAGTCGTAAATTTTTGTTTACTGTGTTGGTATCGGGAAATTTTAAATGACTGCTCTGTCAAATGTGATTTAAAGATTTGTTCTAAGAAGTTAAAAATATCATTAAGCAAGTTTGTTTCAAACGATGTTGATTCAGTCAGCTAGAGCTAAGTGATCGAAGCAGTTTAGTTTGAGCGCAGTGTGTGGCATTTGATGCTATATTTATTTAGATGTTCTATTGGAAAAATTGGAATAATGCATTCTAGTGTAATTAAATGGGGAAAACAGCAGTTTGTTTTCCTTCGCATTTGATACCAATTTGATTGTGAATGTACTATGTATCACTTTTAACGCTTATTTTCTTTATAACAGTAGAAAGTAAGAAATCAGAAGACAATGTGGCCATTGAACCAGAGGAATCAGGTTTGTATGTTATGTTTTACATGAGTTTGCCACTTAAAAAAAATTGAGAATTATAAATATTGTATCATAGAACTTTACACTGCAATAAAAATATATTAATAGCTTTTCCTGCAACTGTTTTCTTTTGAGGACAAACATATCTGTGTTGTTAGAATCTATCATCTTGGGTTTTTTAATGACAATATTTTAATGGCTTTCAGAGCACTTTCAGTTTTAGAAATTGAGAGTGCTACCAGCTCAGAAAAACTTACATTGATAAAAATGACCATATTAGGCCATATGATGAAACTAAAGATTTCTTTTATTTGCTCTGTTTTCCACCAGCCAGCCAGTCAGTAGTGCATACTTGGGGAAAAAAAAGTATATGTAAGAAATAAAGTAGAATGTTTCCCAAACTTTGAGCTTTATTTATGGCCTTCCCAAGTTAGAGAATGTATTTCCCTCCCTTTGATTCTTCCTATTGTCTACAGCCAGCATCCTAGCTATTGTGAAGTTTTTTTCTAGTGAACTGGACTGCTTGACTGTGTGCAGCCTTCAGTCTATTAGCAGTAATAACACTTGGTGATGTGTGACATGCCTAATTTAAACATACATATGGAATTAAAAATAATAGGATTTTGAGGTCAACTGTTTCACAATTGCATCTGGGAACATAAGTATATGAATTTTTCTAAGCTCATACTGTAATAGGATGTGAAACTGGGAGATCTGTGCTTTGGGTAGTATAGTTTCAGAATTTTGAAGTATCATTTTTGAAACTGCAATTCTGCAATTTACTCATTGGCCTCCTTACATATTAATCTTCCCCTTGGAAAAATTCAGTGGAGCAAGAAATTTGCATCCCACTTTGGCAAAGTATTACAGAGCAGTCTTGATAGGTCACTGTTTTGAACATAAGTTGAAAAATAAGGCTTTTAAAAATATTTAGGGAGCAGTCCAGTTTGAATTATTTTTACATTTTTGATTTACAGAAATACCTGTTCAAGCTGAGGATTATTCAAATGATGTTCAAGTGGGTAAGTCAATTTTAAATGCTTGGGATTTTTTTCAATAGAGAAAATAAAGCTCTAGCTACATGGAAATTTATAAACAAATTACTTTGTGGAGAGGCATGAAGGGGTATCATCAATGTCAAAGTTACTTCTTGGTTTTGAAGAGAGAATATTTTTGGTGTACTTGATAAATGGTAGCAGTAGTTACTGGGTTATATGAAAGTATTCCAAATAAACTGTTAGTAGCTTTAATTTACAACTTAATTTGTAATGATTTCAGACAGAGCTGGATAGTTTTGCTGTAAAGGGAAATAAAACAATTTCAGGTCTTGGAATATTTGCCTACTTCCTCTCCAGAGTAACTGATCATGGACAGTGATATTGTTAATTCTTTGCGTGTCAGTCAGATCCATTGGAGTCTGGCTGTGGTACATTCTTGGGGCAGTGCTCTGTAAACAGGACTTTTTTGGTCATGACATTGCATTTTTCTTGACATAACTGATATCAAGAATAAGAGCACTTTCAGTTCTTCCATCTACATCCTGACGATAGTAAACATAGAGTTGACCAAAGCCGTCTTTAGAGTAGCTAAGCGGCTTCTGAATTTGAAGACTACTTATTGTTGCATTTCACTGCTTTTTGGAGTTATGATTACAAGGTACTAATTTGTTAGTTGTAACACAGTAGTTGTGTTGAGTGAAACAGAGTTGTATCTCAGGGCAGTAGATCAGAGGAGCTATAATCCACGAGCACTGACAGCTGTATTTCTGTTTTGTTCTGATTAGCCTGAGCACCTTTCTGGGTTAGTTGTTCTTTGCACTGTGCAGGAGCTCTTATGAGATGAGGTGCCCGGAGGGTTCTGGGGTGTTGGTTTTTTTCCACGTGGAAAAGGAAACTTGTGTTTGACTCTTGGTTGTGCCAGAAGTAGCCAGAGAAGTGAAAATACATAGGAGACCTTTGTGGTTGCCCAGTACAGATTGAAGGCACGGTTTAGTTAATATTTTAATTTATTTGCTGAACCTTAACTGGGGTGATTTGAAATGCTCATATTAGTACATAACTGTGTTGTCTGTGAGACCTTTCTAATCTCTTTATAACAACAGCCATATGGTGTGTTGAAATGTTTGAAGCCATAGATATCAATTAGTAGATGCCTTATCTAAAATGTTTTGTTTCGTAATGAGTATGGAGTATTCTTAGCCAAAGCTTGTAATCAGTATAAGAACAAACAGTAGTTGCTTTGACAGCATAGCAAGAAGTTCAGCAAAGGTAGTCTTCGTTTCATTTGTTGTGCATTAAGTTGTAACTGTAGAAGAGGAAACGATGTTTTCTCTCAGAAAATGTTGCTGCTTAAAAGTTAAAATAACAAAAAGGCCCTTCCTGGACTGTTAGAAAGTATTAACAATAGATAATTCCACTGCGCAGTACCAGTTGTATTGATATGAAGATATTGAGACAGTCTCTTAGCTTACATATACTACTTTAAAATTAAAGTCAGAATGCCAGTGCCAACTTGAAATCTTTAAGTTCTGTTTTTTTGGACCATATTTCTGTCCCTTTTGTGCTGTAATTTATGGCTCAGTTTTGCAACAGTAAATTAATAGAAAAAAATCTTAGGTGTTTTGTACAGTAATGAAGATTTCCAAAATATACCAATAGAATCATAGAATCAGTTAGGTTGGAAAAGATCCTTAGGGTCAAGTCCAGCTCTAAGCCTAATACTGCCAAGTCCACCACTAAACAATGTCCCTGAATGCCACATCTACGTCTTTTAAATACCTCCACGGGCTGCACCACTTCCCTGAGCAGCCTGTTCCAGTGCTTAAGCACCCTCCTGGGGAAGATGTTTTTCCTCGTACCCGATCTAAACTTCCCCTGGCACAACTCGATGCTGTTTCCTCTTAACTGTCACTTGTTACTTGGCAGAAGAGACTGACCCCCCGCTTGGCTGTGACCTTCTTTCAGGTAGTTGAAGAGAGAGAGAGAAGGTCTTCCCTGACCCTCCTTTTCTCCATACTGAACAACCCCATCTTCCTGAGCCAGTCCTCGTAGGATTTGTGCTCCAAGACCCTTCATCAGCTTTGTTGCCCTTCTCTGGAAATGCTTCAGCACCTCAGTGTCCTTGTAGTGAGAGGCCCCAAACTTAACACAGGATTTGAGGTGCGGCCCCACCAGTGCTGAGTAGAGAGGGACAATCATTCCTTTAATTGTAGATGTATTTTCAAATAAGATGGTGGAAATTAACCTAGTTGTCCACTCTCCTTTTACTGTGCTGTGATTAAAAGAATCTTTACTGTTTTCAAACATTGTTAAAATGAGAAATAGCATGTTCTACTTTGAAATAGTATGCATTTCTGATCTTTTCAAAAGATCTTTTAGATACTTATTTTTTTTTACCCGTATTTGTTTCCAAAACTAGTGCAACACTTCTTAGATCTCAAGATTACCCTTACCTCTTCTTGTTTGTGCACAGAGTAAAATTCAAGTAGCATCTCAGAAAACTGAAAAAAGAAACAGAGAACATAAGTGACTGTTGACTATGAATAAAAATGAGTATTAAATTAATACTAATTAAATTAGTTGTGTGTTTACCTGCCTTTTTTGTATATGAGTCTTTCAGTTTGAAAGCAACATTACTCTCAAATTTTCCTCTTAGAGTATGACATTCATGTTTACCAGGGACTTTTTTTTAAAATGTTATTTGTTATGGAGGATTCAGTACAGAGATTTTATTGTCAGAAGTCTTTGTATATAGGTATTCAAAACCTAATATTTCCTATTCTCTCAGTGATAATAATATTGAAGTTCATTGTACTAGAGACAGCCAAGAACGCTCTTCTGAATGAAGAACCTCTTTATACACATATGAAAGATGTAACTATTTATGTAATATACATAAATTCAGGCAGTGTACAAGAAATTCAGAAATATCATTATAGAGTCCTTATTCTTCAGTATTATAAATTGATGCAACTGCATTTCAACAGTTTCTGTCAGGTTGGGAGCAGCCATTTGATCCTTAGGTAAAACATGGGAATTTAGTTGTTTTAGAAAGAAAACAGGAGATAGTTCAGAGGCTGAATTTAGCTGTGAGGAACATTCTCACATCAGCAGTGAAGAGATTGAGTGTGGGATTTGAATATGCTGGAGTGCAAGTCAAGAGTTTTTTGCTGACTTCAGGGTATATTAGAAAAAAGAAGTAATACTAGTAAAATACATGTTTGGGTATCTGTAGGTACTGTTTTCCAATTCTGAGTTAATTTCTAAAATTATTACTGGTATTCTTTTCTAGATGTAGGCTACTTTAGCTTCCATCATAATCCACATTTTTGTAACTAATGCACTTGGGTGATATGGTAGACCAGCTTCAAATATTACTGAGTCAGATTTTTTTTTACTAATCCTGTTTTACACTGGCACATAAATTGCAGTGGTTGTGATACAGTGGTTCTGGTTGAATGCATATTTTCGGGGAGACATATTGCAGGTTTTGGGATACCATTGCTATCTGTATCATGATTTTTATCCATCTTGTATGAGTTCAGATTTAAGATATCTCTGGGTTTTCCCACTCCTCCCCTTCACCTTGTATCCCTGACATTTTATAACCCTACATTTATTTTACCAACTACTATAATCCCTTACGTGTAGAGAAGTTTCCACTTTAGAACTTTGACCCTTCCTTATTCCCTGGCTCCTCTTTTCCAGTTGTCTCTGACTTGAACAAATAAAACCCAAAACCAAACAAAAAACCCCAAACAAACAAACAAAAAAAACAACACCCAAACCCACGAAAACAAAAAAATTGTTTTAATGTGTTTGGGACATGGCCTAGATTTCCTTTACAAGGTAAATGATGTGCCATATGGTAATAAAAAATTTACTGCGTAGATAAATATTTCCCACCTTATACGGCAACTTTGTGTATATTCATTACAGTAGCTCCTAGAGATTATAGCTTTCTCAAACTAACTAGTCTGATACAAAGTTGCATTTTTTAGCATTTAAGATTTTTTTGTTGTTGTTTTAGAGTGAGTTGTGTTTTGGTTGGTCCTTTAATATAGATTTCCCCTTATTTTTTCAGATACTTAAAGCTTCAAAAGAAAAGTCCCTACATCAGGAGGACCAGCCCTAACCATACGCTACAAAAGGGGAGCAGATGGTTGTAATAGATCTTATGATGTAATTACCCAGCAGTTCAGGGTTTGGGGAATGAACACTAAGATGTTGTAACTGGGTTTTAGCCAACTGTCATTTTAGTAAGCATTTTTAACACTTGGATGTTTAGTTTACATTCCTGTCTGATATTATTTTTTTTCCCTTGGTCAAGTTTAGTGAATTAATTATTTTTTTCTTCTGTGTTTGTGACAGAATTGCAACTTTGAGCTGCATTTCATGTACTGTTTAAGCAATTGTTAATATTCTATTTATAACGTAGCAGCAAGTACATTTTTTCAGATTTTAATATATATCTTTTGTTGTGGATTCATACAGTATGTACAGAGCAGTTTGGTCAAATGAAACATTTTATGAATTTTTAAATGTTTTATAACTGCTGATATAGCATACAGCCTAGTTGCATTTTATTAAAAACACTAATCAGGCACACACTATGCTGTGAAGTTTGACTTATCTCTCTTTGCACTGATGTTATGTCAACAGTTACACTACATGAGTTTCAGGTTATTTTTAAAATAGCCTAACAAGATGCAAAATGTGTGTGTTTAATTTATACTAATAAAAGAGCAGATTACTAGATTACACTTTTCTAAAACCATTTATATGTGAATTAGAATTCTTTATGCCCATTTGATTTATAAAAAAAAACGTCTGGAGACTACATGGTAGTCTGTCAGGAAGTCAGTAGAGATTGCAACAAAACTGAGTTGCTGGAATCAGGTTGAATTTAGTAAAATTTTTCTGGTTTGCCTCCCAAGATAATGATCTCAAAGCTAGATTTAGTTAGCTTTACATTCAGTAAATAATTTAAAAAGTCAAGTTTGTATAAATACATAATTTGCAAATTTTATTTATAAAAAGGAAAAAAAACTTTGGAAATTCAACCTTTGGAAAAGTTCGATGTCAAAATTTAAGACCTACAGTTATAAATGCTCTTATAAATGGTACATATGAAATTTAGACTGTGAGTGATTTAGCATTTTAGTATAACAGGTGTGGTTTTTACCTGTTCTGTGCTGCTGTTCCACAATTATGGAGACTTATTTTATTCTTTGGTATTTTGCATGTGTTCCTTTTTGGCTCAGGAATAATTGCTGTGATTTTAGGAAGTTGCCAAGCCTGATACAGGAGCTTAGGAGAAATAAAGTAACATAAATTTATAAAAAGAAAAGTCAATTTGGTAACCCTAATAGTGGTTGCCTTTGGGTTTACAGGGAGACTTTCAAGTTCTGTAACACTGTTTTGAAGTCAGGTTTCTAGATGCTTAAATTTGTAGTGAAAGGGGCATCATGTATGCTTGCCTTTTTTGGTATTGGGATTTCAGTGAGGCTCCATGTGAGTGTTGCATCTGATCAACAAGTACAGATGTCCCAAAGTGATTTCTTTAGACTTTTCAGGAAAGCAATAATACTCTTAGACTGTGATGTGTTTTGGGATGGGATGTTCTAGTAAAACTACCTGTGATTGTGATTTGCAGAGCAATAATCTTTACAAAGCCATATTTTGTGAGGAATCTTGGTAATAATTTTAGAATGGTGAATGGAGGACTTTTTATATAACAGTAACAGTCTATTTGTATAATTATGGGACTGTGAGAGTATATTATGCTGTGATCAAATTTTAAATATTTTGTAACTGGGTATGTGATTTTACGTGCTTCATGTTTACAAAAATATGCCAAGCTGAGCAAGGTCAAGTGGACTATTGAAAAATGTATATTTAATCCATTTTATTGTTTGGCTGCAATAAAACACAGAAGAATATCTTTGTTTTTCTAGTGTCATTATTTACTCCTGAATGTGGTAGATATTAACTGTAGGGATAATTGACCCATCCACTAATTAATACTATTTATTTAAAATTATAAATTTGAATATTTAAAAATATATTTGAAAACATTATTTACAAGGAGGAAGAAATATAGCAAGTAAAATTAATTTTATTTCTGACTGGTGTTATGTGAAGGAAACAGACAATACTCTAAGGTCTGTGTCTTCTATAATTGCGTTGTGTTCATCCTTTTGGAGTATTAACATTCTGCAACCAGTTTGACCTGAATTTTTCCGACAACACATAATTTCTGTTTTTACGTCAAAGTGGATGAGATAGCATTCTTAACCAAACACAAATGTCCGTGGAAAGTGTGATATCTACCTTTCATACAGAATATTATGGTTATGGTCCATAGTTAGATCAGAGGTCTAGTAAGGTCTTCACAGTTCTCTATTTGAAAGCAAAACTATTCCTCCAACCTTTTCAGTTTTCAAACACCTCCATAGCTTTAATGATCAAATATGACTGAATATTAGTCTAAGAAAATGTCGAGATTGCATTTTTCTTTATTTTTTTCTTTGCATTGCCTCTTGTTATATTTCAGTGAATCTATGAAATCTTGGATTCAGTTGCTTTTTTTTCAAAATCACAGGAAGAAATACCAATTAGCAAAGAGTAGGCTGCTAAAGGTGTATTTTAATACTGACAATCTACTACAATTTAAGTGACTTTTTAACATTCTCTGGAATTGAAAAGGTATCATATCATGGAACTTCTGTCTAAGACATAAAGAAAATGGCTAAAATTTGATATAGGAAAGATACTGAAAAATTTAATGTTTTTACTGAACATCATTTGTAATTTTACATTTCAGAAGTTATGTGTATGTAAATAAATTGTATTGTACACTTATAATGTTGATTGAGATTCATGTAAAATCTACAAGGTCTTAAATACATGTTTAATTGTGACTTGTCTCATTGTCACATGCAGTCACAAACATTTAGATGTACTGTACTGTACACAAACATTTAGATGTGAAAAATAAATTTATTCTTCATGGTAGAAACCTTGGGAATACCTGGTGCATTTGTTACACAGTGATAGCAGTCCTAACCTGTAGAGCTTAGCTAAAGCTGTTTTACCTGTGATTTTGATCTGGATTTGTTTTGCTGGAAATGGAGAAATTGAATAAAAGATGAGAGGGGTTTGAAGAGATAAGATTTTGTTTGTTTGTTTGTTTGTTTGTTTGAGCTACAGTTGGTTTAAGTTGATGACAAAATAGTCTTAAGATTTATTATCATATCCCTGTCTTTGGACAGCAAATTTTTAAGGCTTTGTCAGAATAGCATAATTAAAACCTTTTGCACCATCGAAGTATCCTAGGGATCAGTGTGGAGGGAAAAAAGCAATGTGTGCTGAATATGATACTGAAGTGAATTCTTACTTAAGTGTGGTGAGAAGTGAGAGAAACAAGATTTTCAGAGCTAACATGATCAAGTTGTCATGAATTTCAAAAGCAGCTACCTAGAAGGAGAAGCTGGAGTATTAAAAGATCACTGGAGAGGCTTTGGTGAAATCAATGGCAGCTAATTTAGCAGAATCCAGATTGAAAAAAGTCTGAGAGAGTTTGGACTGATTCTAGTGCATGAATAGGTATAGAGAACTGTAGGTTATATGTTGCATTAGTCTCAGTAGAAAAGAAATGTGAAGCCAGACAAGAAATGAGAGGTAGGAGCAGGCTTTAGAGTGATGAGGTCATACCTTGTTCTTCCTGTAATGGCAAAGAAGTTGCAGAAATAACATGAATGTCCAGGATGTGTGGAAGCAGATTACTGAGTGATGCAGAATGAAGTAGAGAGAAGAGGTGAGGTGAGAATATTGGTGTTGCTGATAAGGGAGAAGATACAGGGAAAATGGGTGGCTAAGTAGCAGGCTGTATCATGGAAATGTGAGCTGATAAAAACGATAGCAGTATGAGTATAAAGACTGCTCTGTGTAAAAGCTGTTATCTCATCTGGACCTTCATTATTGCTCTTTTTAAAATGCAGTGTTTCTGGTGATCTACAGATATACACAGCCATTTTATTTATTGTGCGTTGTGCACAAAAAAATAGAAAAGTCAGTGTTTTAGGAAGTGCTGCACGCTTCCATTAATATACTGTTACAGTAATAATTATCCCTTAGTTTGTAATTGACTCTATACATCTTTTGTAATTTCTTTCAATTTAATCGACAATCTAGATTTCATGATGTAATTGAAGGGGTGAATGACTTTCAGCGTGACCCTATTTATTTAATTTACCATATCCATCATCAAGTTCATGCTCATTCTGTCTTGCACTGAATGTAAATTAGAGTTGTAGTGGTTGTAGTGTCCATACACTTAGTAGCAGAAGTTGTCAATCTATAGTAAATGGTGAAATTAGAATTTAAATAATTTGATTTCATGTATGTGCATAACCCAGTTTCTCCATGAAAAAGTGAAATGCTTTCCAGTATTTTAAATGTGTATTTTATTCACATAGTAATGATTCTGAGCAGTGAGTCTGAAAAACAGTGAAAAGTGAATATTCTGACAAAGCATCTCTAAATTACTTAGAAATTTAAGGAAATGGCTTATATATATATATAAGAATACCTCAAAATTAAACAGTATATGTTAGGAAAATAACTAACTAAAAAGCCAGCTGACCTCCCTCTTTAGTGTTCTCTAAGTTTATTAGAAGGAAGTATTGGAAGTTTACTGGGACAAAACTGGAAACAGAATAACGGTGTTAGAACTGTGAAGCAGGATGCTCTATATGTTATAGAGTAAGGCAGGATCAAATAGTGTTTAGAGAGGGGAAAAAGATGTTTATATATCTATTACCTTCATGATAATGCACATACGTGATTTGGGTACAGGATGTAGTCTGCCTTTGCTACAGGCTGTCTTAACGCTTAGTTAACATTTACCTGTGCAGTCAAATGTTTACAAAGCAGCTGTTAAATTACTTTAAGAGTTAAAGAAAACAAAAGCTTTTCAAGTGCCCAAACCACTTCTGAAAATAAGAGTTTGGTTCCCAATTGATTTTGTTTTTCACATTTTAATCAAATGTATGTATTAAGTTAGTGTTCCCAGTAGTTTTTAATTAGTTAACAGATTTTCTTTCTTACAATATAGCTTGCATTGTGATTGTATATCACCAAAATCTACTAAATAGCTAGAGAGGATGTTCTAGGAAATATTTTGTGATCAAAGCAATAATGTAATATTTGAAGCATCTGCAGGGAAAGACCTTTAAGGTAACTATATAGTTGAGAAAATTATATAAGGTTTCTTTAAAAAATAAAAATGAAATAAAGAAGTTCTGTTTGCTTAAATATGTTTCGTTTTCTTGTATCTCTTTTTATCATAAACTGTTAACATAGATTTATTTCAATGAAATTATATTTTTAATATTCTAGGGAAAAGTGAAAAAGAAACTGAACAAGACAAAACAGAAAAAGGTAAGTCTGAATGTAACATTCTGTTCTGAAATTTAAAACCATGCTTTCTGAGAAGATTGATTTAAGCCATGTTAAATAGTAGTGAAGCTTAGCTCCTGTACATGTGACATAGATAAACTGCAATTGGATAAACATCCAGAGAGCATGTGCTATTCTAAGTAAACACAAAGTTGTTTCTGAAGCTGGCATCAATGTATTCCCCTCTTACATGGTCACAGAATAGAACAATAGACTCATTTAGTTGGAGAAGACCTTTAAAATCATTGAGTCCAACTGTTAACCTAACACTGAACCATATTCCCAAGTAGCACATCTTTTAAATACTACCAGGGCAGCCTGGCAAACCTTTCAGTGAAGGAATTTTTCCTACTATCCTATCTAAACCTCCCCTGGAACAGCTTGAGTATACTGCCTCTTGTGTCATTTGTTACCTGGGGGAAGAGACCAATCCCTATCTTACTACAGTCTCTTTTCAGGTAGTTATAGAGATCTTTATGGTCTCCCCAGAGCCTCCTTTTTTTCAGGCTGAGCAATCCCAGCTCCATCAGCTGCTTCTTATAAGACTTGTGCTCCTGATCCTTCACCAGCTTCATTGCTCTTCTCTGGACACACTCCACACCTTAATGTCTTTCTTGTAGTAGCCCAAAGCACAGGATTCAGATGCAGCCTCACCAGTGCTGAGAACAGGGGGAAGTCACTGCTCTAATCCTGCTGGGCATGCTAGTTCTGATCCAAGCCAGGATGCCATTGACCTTCCTGCCTACCTGGACACACTGCTGGCTCATGTTCAGCCAACTGTTGACCAGTAACCCTAGGTGCTTTTCCAATCGGCAACTTTCCAGCCAGTCTTCTCCAAGCCTATAATGGTGCACTGAGTCATGGGGTGGTTGTGACAACTACTGAGTAAACTATTCAGTGTCATAGTCTCAGTTTAGGATTCTGCAGGTCATAGTTTCACCAACCTCCTCCTGCTTCAATGGGCAAGAGTCAACCTGGGCTGCCTGGCCCCAGGAGCTGCCAACTGTGCTAAGGCTGGAGAGACAGGTGACATTAAAATCAGTCCTTATTAACTCCCATGTTTACCAAATAAGGGTTTCGGTGTAGCTTAGTTTAGGAAGGAAGATGCAGAGGCAGAATTGATGGAAAAGAAGTGAGGTTTTTGCTAGAGAGCACTGAGAATCTGTTCTCCCTATAATGACATTTGTTCTGGCCCTGTGCATTCCCTGTCACTGCAGGAATCTTGCACAGCCTCCTTCGCTGGGGTCACAGTTTGTAGCTGACAATGCGCAGAAACCTCAGGGCCTGTGCCAAGGGATTCGTTGGCTCTTTTTCTTTCCTGTTTTTGTTTTTTTTTTTACTGCTCCTTTTTCATTCCTGTTTTCATTTTCTATGTGGAAGTTATTTTGTGTTTGAGTACTTAGGAATAATAATTTTGTGATCTTTTGGTGAGGTGTTCTGGTTTTATATATTGCTTTTTAAAATAAGTTTCCAGGACTGGCAAACTTTTTGTTTAAGTATTATATATGTCACATGTAAGCATTACATATAAAAAAGTAAAAAAACTCAGAAAGCAAGGCAATTATGTCAACATTTCCATTTATAAAAGAATATAGATTTAGCAGGAAATACCTTACTGTGTTGGGCATACATACCTGATAGTAGAGACCCCCACCATTATGTACTAGTTTTATTAAACTATTAGAACAGTATGATGAAATTACATACAATAGCCATCCAGTATAGGTAAAAATAGTAGCTTGTGTTAAAAAAAAAAAAAAGAAAATATTTAAGGATTTACTATTATGCAGCATTATTCATCAGAACTTTGACTTGAAATTAAGACAAGGTAGATCTACTTTCCTTTTGCTTTCAAAGTGCTTTGTGGTTTTGCTCCTTTTTAAACAGCAGCTAAATAAATGCCATGGGAGATTACAGATTTTTATAAGGTGGAAAAAGGGTTAAACTGATAAAATTTTGCACCCAGCACGGCATTTTTCTAAGAACTTTGTTTATAGTTGAGCTACTTGTGCAGTTTTATCATACGTGGTGCATTTTGTTGAACTCTTTTTATAGTTTGAACTATTTTGAGCTTTCACTTTCAGTAAAAGGGTCTAGCTATAGATATCCTAGTCAGAGAAAGTGGTATAAAGTACTGTTGATTTGGTTTATTTTAAATTACCCTGATAAGATGCAGCAATAAATTAGTGAGAGGTGTATTTTAAAAAATACTGTATAGTGACAGGTGTATGTAGAAAACTTGGAAATCTAAGGAATTGGGAGTTTGAAAATTCATTTTTGGCTTAGGTTTAGGGTTTGCTTATGATTCTGACAGTGCATAGAGTTGTATATGGAAGTCTGCATTTTTTTATGTCCAAATATTTAAAAACAGCTCCAAAGAGCCTTCTGGATAGAAAGTATTTACAGCTCTGAGTAGACCTTATATCACCAGTATTTTCCAGTGCTGCAGTCTTCATCGTACTTTGTTAACAAAATGTCTTAATAACTTTGTAAATTTCAGTTTTCAGGAGGAAATTTATTAAAAGTCTCACTGAAAATTCTTTGATATTAGCAAAACCCCCCTCTGGAAAGATCTCTAAAGAAACAAAAAATAAAATGAACTTTTTTGTAGCATACTATTACTTCAAGGTTTCTCTGTCATATATAATTGAGAAGGATTCTTAGTCTTCTTCATAAGAGTCTGAAGAGACTTTACTTGAAGTAATTTAAGTGGGATGAATATTTCAGGTGAGTCTCAGAAATAATTCTTTAAAATGTTTCACAACTGGTACAATGCAGGACATACATGCTACAGCCATAAGATGTCTTTCCATATGAGGTGGTTTTAGTTGTTTTTGATAACGGGCTAAAAAATTAATTTTAAGTATGGAGCTTCATTTTTCTACTTTGACTAATACTGGCATATATTAAATATTCCTTTATATTGGCGAAGAATGGATATAAGAATTGGAACAATAATTTTCGGCAGTGAATGTGTTTCATGCAATGGACTTGAGCATGGGTAATAACATAAGAATTTTCAGTTTTCAAAACTGCTAAAACATGACAGTAAAAATGAATGCTATTTGCCTGGAGCACTCAGTTGCGTTTCATCAAGGACAGATGTGCACATAAGCCAGGCTTAGGACAGCATCATTCCGCAAGTGGCCCTGCAAGTGTAATTTTGATACCACGGTCAGCATTCACCACTGCTTACTCCAGATGCTTATCTTTGCAGAGCATACATAGGATTCCACTGTGGTACCAGTAGAGATCTAACCTGTGTAACCTGAGGAGGCTAAAGTGCTATTCTTCTGACTGAATGTGGGGTTTTGCTGTAGGATGAGTTGTCCCCAAAATTCCACTGAGAGCCTTTACCGGACCTCTATTGTCCGGAGAAAGAGCTTACAGACTTAGCTCACCTCCACCACTGTCACCTCAAGTTAGATGGGCTGGGTTCACCCATGCAAGCATATTTATAGGAGTTTACATAGTACCTGTTGATTTACATATTTGATGCAGGCTACAATTAAACATGTATGAGCTGTGTGCAGAATGACCAACATGGAAGTGTAATTCTTAAAGTCCAAAATTACTGCGTAATGCCATTCTGATCTAAATATACATGGCAATAGAATATTTGTGTGTATTTTTGTATAGAAGGTCAAAGTAGAAATTTCCTTCTGGTCTTATCAAAGGGTTGTTTGAGTTTTAGCCTTTGAATGAAGCCCAAGGACTTAATGGTGAAAGAGAGAGGTGGATGAAGGAAATACATGCCAAAAATAAAATTATGATTCTTCAGTTGTTCCTTACGATCAGCATCTAACCAACTAACCAACAATAATTTCATACAGAAAGCCCTGCAGAGTACTTTTTACTGCGAGGGAAATTGTTCTGGAATAGCTGCAGCTAAAGATTTATTACAGTCATTAGATTCCAATTTTATTAGTCCCTAAAATGCCTCAGTTTTTATTGTCTGATTACTTCTCCAGGTAAGTTGATTATAGTGTTCTACCAGTACAGTTTAGAAAGATCCTTTAATTATTGTAGTGTTCCTGGCTTTAAATTGTCGAGATGCAGTTACTTGGTTTTATACCTTTTAAGTTACCTTTATGGAAGCCCATAAAACAAGTGGATCGTTTACACTCTGTATCTCACATAATGAGCTTCCCAAACAACAGGACAATGACAGGAGTTTTTCATCATCATCAAATTCTCATTCAAGTGCCCACTGAGAGGCAGCACAATTTCCAAAACTAATTTGGGTAATGATATGGGGCTGGTATGAGGAGGTAGGACAATGACTTGAGCAAATTTTGAATTCCAGGTAAAAGTAATCATTCTGCTAATATATATATATATGTCATTACTTGGAAAACAACTACAGACCATGATCATTGTTATCTACTTGTCATTGTCCCCCAGTCAGAAGTTGTCATCCACAAGTTGCCAAGAGCATTATTACTGAATTTGTATCACAGCAGGAATAGGAGAGTGTATAAGAAACAAAGCCTGTGACCCCCCTGGAAATTGCTTCCTGAGTTTTTGACAGTTCAGGATAGAGAACTGACAGGAGGAGCCTTTGCTGGCGGTGACTGAGGCTGCATCACATGAGGTTTTTAATTCAGATTAGCTTTTAGAGATGGCATAACATGAGGAGACATAACTATATAGTTATAACCTAGATGAATAGTTATAGCTCCTATTAAAACGGTATTTCAGACTTAAATCATAGAATTATAGAGTAGTTTGGATTGAAAGGGACCTTTAAAGGCCATCTAGACCAGTCCCCTCCAGTGAGCAGGGACATCTTCAACTTACCTGCCAGCAGTAAATGCAATATACAGTCAGTGCAACAGGATTCTTCCTTTCAATTTAAAAAACTGGGGTACTGTGTGTCCTCAAGGTGGCTCTAAAGATCAGGCTTTATTTTGAATCCTTATGCCTTATGAAGGAGTTAACTAAAAGCCAGAGTCCCAACTCCTGTCCGTTTTGCATGCCAG